CCCCCCCCCCCCCCCCCGCCTTCCACTTTCTAAGCAATAATTTTGTTTCCTAATGGTAATGGAAGCATTTGCCACTAGTTTTGCATGTAGTCATAAAGTAATTATGTGTCGCTAATTAGGCAGACATAAGGAACTTGAATTTGTCATTTCACAGAAAAGTAACTCTGAGAAGTGCCAGCAAATTTTAGGTGCCAGGACTGCCTCAGAGAGCAGGAATCCAGCTCTTTCCTCAAAACCTTGCTGAACAAATAGGCTTTGAGAACAGATCATATGGATACAGTAAGGTCAAACTAGAGCTCATGCAAACTATGCTGTTTCAGTGCTGAACTTTCAAACCTCAGTCTACTGACATGCTTCTAATTAATAGTGGAAACTAAATTTGTATGGATGCAGCCATACAGTTATTTAAATATATACTTTACATGGCAGCCAAATTAAGTATGACAGCTTGTTTACTATGGATTCCTGCCCTATGGGAGCTTTCAGACACAGTACATTAAGGAAGAGAACAAAGTAACAAGTCATGAAACAAACGGTAAATACTGGTATATCTAATGCTTATCATTTTGGTATGTGAAAACCACAAGTTTTACAGATTCACTGGCCATATTTTAGACATTACTATAAAAAAGTTAAGCAGGTAGATGGTGCAAAAAAATACAGTTCTTCTAGCAACCACCTTCTGTCTTATTAATGCCACTGGCTAATTAGCCACAGGCAAGAACCTGGTGTCAAGTTCAATTCAACTACTTTATTGCACCTTACATTAATAACCTGTGTATTTTAAACACAGCACTGTCTCCTTCCATTGTTAAGGGTTCCTTGATTTTTTCTTTTTGAAAGCTGTAATTTAATTTCCCAAATTAATATTTAATTATTTTGTTAGGCAATTTATATTGAATCTAAAGTAAAACAAATAAACGTTTTGCAAGAAAGCCTATAAAAAAGAGTAAAGAGCAGAAGCACCAGGCTGCCTATGGTAACTCTAACAAGACAATTCTAGTCTTCTAGGAATCCCTGCCAGCATGTAACAATGCACAGAAGACACTTTTCTAAACATACCTCTTGATCCGTGAAAATCTCAATGAAGTTCTGGAAGGAGAAGGACCCTGACTGAAGAATGAGCTCTCCTGTGTTTTCAAAGCACTGGCCAGTTAGAACAAGGAGCTTGTGCCTTGCAGCATCTGTGATCATTAAGCGCACCTAGAGTGAAGAAGAGAAATACATCAATAATGGGAGTGACCACATGTTTCAATAGTCCACTGAGAACACACACTTTACTCTCCTAATTTACAACCAGTCTTTGGAACAGGACTCTCAAAACATTATGGAGTTATACTGCTGTTTACAAAAGACAATGAGAAGGGGAAAACATGAAAAAAAGGAGGGGCACGATGCAGTTACAAGATCTGAAGAATAAAACAAATTAATGACATGGAAAAAACAGCAAGGAGCAGAACAGAATACAACTTGAATTAAGAAATAATTGTTTCAGCAACAAACTTATTCATAGTATAGTTCTTAGTATACTTTTATGGAATTGTATCAGGACAACCTTGGTAAACTATTTAAGAGCACATGCTTGTTACTTTACTTGACCCTCACTACAGCTACTAATTGTTCTTGCTTACCACTCCCAAGGGAGAGATTTATGTGCATGCTAAGAGAATGCCATGTATTCTAAACTTAGGAACAAAACTAAACAAAACCTGTGTAAGATTCTATACTGTTGAGTAAATGATTTGCAAATACTTCAAAAGTCTTACCAAACACTAAAATACCAATTCAGTCTATGGTAAGCTATGAATTTCAAGTGCACTAATTCCTCTATTAAGGAAGAATTAAATCAAACCAGAGCAGTGATTTCAGAACAAGACTATCCACATATTAAACTAATTGAGCAAATGAGCAGAGTCCACCTGGGACAGCTCCACATGATAATGCACCAAGCTCCATCTCCATGGAGATGACACAATCAACTCAGCTCTCCTAGCAAGATATTCTTTCCAAGGTTTATATTGATTGTTAAGCAATCAATTTTTCTAAATAACCCTTGTGAATGCTGGGAGGCCGAGCCAGGGAGGCTTAATTTGAATCTCTGCTGAACAGCTCACGTTTCCAGTACAACGAGAAAACACACACTGGAGAGTATGTATCTCAAAGAAGATCCCAACTCTATCATGTCTTCACTGTTATTTTATCAAATAAATGACCCTAATACTGAGAAGCAGAAAGTTCCTTTAACTAAATGTAGGACTAATGCTGGTCTGCCACTAATTGCACTAAATAATTACATATTCAAAAATATCATGTATGGATTTAATGTATCTATTTCTTTTTCAGACAAAAATGTAGATAAATGCAAACATTTGTCTGACGTGCATTACTCAAATCTTCTCTGTTTTCACTCTATTAAAATGGTATCAGAACTGGCTTCCTCTTCTGAGTTTTCTTTTGTTGCTGCCAGCAGTGCTTATCAGTCTGACAACTTTTGTGTAAACTCATCAGGTTTTCCAACAGCAAAACTACTTCCTGACTTGTGAATCACTGATATTTGACTGTCATATAATTCCCCTTCTATTTTATTAATTGACAATAAAGCACATTCTGCAGTGTTAGCAAACTATGCCAAGAAAGTAAGTAAATAAATATTTGCAGATTACAGATCATAATGTGTACACATGGAAGACCATAAAAGACTCATAAATTCTGTGTATCGGTACAAATAAGGTTTTTTGAAGGATGACCAGAAATTTGTCTCCTGATTTCAAGACCGCTTAATTTTAGAAGAAATTCTGCAAGGTGATGATTCCATTCAGTTTAACTGCTGGGTAAAGTTCAAAACTTGCTGAAGGAAATGCACAGCAAGATGTAGGCTCAGTCAAAACAGAGATTAAGATGGAGTGTGAACAGAGACCAGCACATCAGCAGAGCAGTTGTTTCCCATGATATAGTACATACTATATGGTACAGTCACAGGAACATTAAAGCAATGGAGTGGGAACTTCCTAAAAAGGAAGTAAATGTTCATCAGGGTTTTCTTCAGGAAATAACAATCTCTCTCTCTTTGGGCCTCTTTCTTATGGGAGGTGTTTGGCATTTGATAGGACATGACAGGAGCTCTGGGCACCATCATGTGTGGACTACCACCAGGTAAGGCTATTATCAGCCAGGTTACCAGGTATATTGTATTTCTTTCTAATTTGTTTTTGTTTGCTTCTTTGGCTTGGCTTTCTTTTTTATGATGTTGTGTTACTTTTGTTTGTTTTTTTGTTTCTTTGTGTGTTTTGTTTTCTTCCTGAGTGAATAGATTCCAGTTCCTCTTCTGGTGAAGTCAGAGCTTCATGGTATATGTATATCTCTGTCTCCCCCAGATCCACCCTGGAAATCTCTGGTATATGAAATTAAGTCCTATTTGCCATAGTGAACAGACAATGTCTACTCCAACCTCTGATTTAATTCTGCCACCTCTTTTTGATGGTCTCTTTCTGAATTGTGCCTATTCAGAGCCTTGCTTAGCCAGCCAAGTTAAAGCTCATCTGTCTGACTGGGACCAGTTTGGCAGGATGAAAGCAAGGATCACCTCCCACAGTTTTTTGAGATGAAATTTATGGTAACATAGCCAAACATCTTCCAGAGCCAGCTCAGTAAGCCCAGGGTTCAGAAATCATTTATGGGTGTCAGATCATGTTCTTCCATGTAGTCATCCATCAAAGGAATGACAAGCAGCAATAACAGAAATAGCATTTCCCAGCTTTTGGCAGTTTTTCATCTCTTCCACCCCTTCACACATGCACACACTTGATGGCTTTTTACTTAGAATGAATGCATAGAGTTGCTATCCTGGTGACCCCCTTGTCCTTACCAAGCACCTCTAATGCCTTGTAAGAGATTTTCACGCACTGTATTTTAGTAAGTTCCCACTGACTAAGGTGGCTTTTAAACTTCTACAGGTTCAGAAATTCCATTTGTTTTGGAGTCCTTTCTTCTGTTTGTGTTCAACATCATTTAACAACTGACAGCAAAATAGTTTTTTCACCAGTGACCACCAGCAGAACTGCTTTATCTTCCAAAAGAAATTAGACTCTGGCAGTGCTTCCCAGCAGAGACCAGCAATGCAATTATCCCTATTATTTCAACCTTCTCATTAGCTAAATAAATTAATTTTGTCTTTGAGCTACACAATCAGTTCTTTGATTCTGCAGAGTTCATAAGGAATTGGCAGTTCTCTTATGGGCACTCTCCAGGGTTCACTAATCATGCCACATGCTTTTTGAAGGACAGACAGATCAACCTAGAGTCACCACCACATAGTTGGTAATTCTCTCAGACACAAATTTGTCCCTGGGCACCTTCAGACATTTTCTTCATATGTAAAATAGGCACCAAAAGCTACCAAACAATGGCAAAGCAAACAAAAAGCTTAACCACAGCTGCCTCCACTCCATCAAGAAGAGAATTTGATGCATTATGAGAAAAGAAACACTGGGATCAGAGGCGTGTTTCTGTCCCATGCTTCTAACAATTTGTTAGGAGTCTGGGAAACCAGGGAAAAGATCAAGGGATGGGTGACATTTTTCATAATATTTATTCCAAATATACCCTTTCATTCGCAGTCAGACCTGCTCTAATCATCTGCTAAGACTTTGAAAAATAGTATTTTCTGAGTTTGTCAGCCTCTAAGCTGGCAGGCAGTGACTGATGCTCCATAATCACCTCAGCTACATCTGCCTCAGTGCCCTCATCATGCCCATTTAGTGCAGCTTTCATGAAATGTTCAACAAAGTATTTCTTACTTACCTCAGTACTAACTGCTTCATCTGAGGGATTGATGAGGACTACAGTTTCTAAGACATCACTTCTGTGGTGAAGAATCTTCTGACCTGCAAGTGCAGAGATGAAAAAAGAAAAATTAAATTCAACCATCATGGGATAGACCAGGACTTTCCAAGAGTTTGCTGTGTCACAGCCCTCTGGCTGACCTGTCTGAAGGAGTACCCATAACTCACCTTGTTTCACAGAGCTGGTGCAGGTAAGGGAGTAACCATCATCAGCTGAGCATCTAGCCCTGACATATCAAGTGGAAACTAGAACCCACACTGCCAAAATGCTCCCTTTAGCCTTCCACTGGTATTGATTAACACTGGGACACTGCAAAAAGTTCCCTGTGGGGATGGTTAGACATTTGCCATGCTGCCCTACTTTATCTCACTCCTGCTTACAAAAGCTGTAGCAAGCAAAGTCAAACAACAGGAGTGACAGAGCACACAAATAACATCTAGATCCTGAATTAGTAAAGTCTGGGCAAGTTTGGAGCAGCCTCACAGCCTATTGGCTTTCATACTTACTCTGTCTCTGTATTTAGTAGTGATATTCATCTCACTGGGAGTGAATGCCAGAAAAACAAAATAGGACTGCTGATTTTTTCCCCCCCTTATGTTAATTGGCAAGTTCTTATCAGGGTCTCTTTCTGTGAGAATTACAGTGAGATTAATTAGCGCTGGATTGTCATTCAGAAATCCAGACTAGTAATTAGTCAAAAAACCAGAAGAGCTGTCCCTTCTGAGCAAACTGATTGGCGCAGTATTAATCAATTAAAATAATTAATTAGGCTTAAAAGGGAGTATGGGACACAGACCTATTTGCCAACTTAGAAAACCTCCCCTGTAAAAAGACATAATTTAACAAGGCTGAGGGCAGTCAGGCTGAAAGGAGCTCCACATGCCTGAGAGCATCGTGTGAGAGAAAGGGCAGCCAGCCATTCCCACAGTGTCCCTGGCTGGGGTGGGCTCGGTGCTGCCCTACCTGCCCCAGCGATGTCCTCTTCCTTCCTCACTGACCTGCCTGCACGAGTCCTGTCTTCTTCCTCCTCCTTGACCCCTGAGCTCCCACTGTGCTGCATCTGTCACTGTTGCTCTGGGGAATATCTACATTTATAAGCATGTGAGCATAAAACCAAATGATAGAAAGTGATGGAGAAGGAAAATAGTGCTCCGAAGTAAAACGTGAGATAGGGTTGTAATCTATTCTCTTGTGCGTGACAGTGCTTAGAAACTTAGGGATAAATATCTACTTAGTTTGAAGAAACCTAGTTTATTTTAACATATATTCTTTCTGCTATACTTCCTTGAAAGAAGGATACAAATTATATATTGCAAAAGTTCTGATATTACCTTTTGCAATTCAATTTATTTTTAAAGTTTTGCTTCCTTGCCTATCAGAAATGCACATATAAAGCTACAGTCAATAAAACATCCGGATGGTTCTCTTACCGCATACTCCTTCAGAAGATGCTCTGTGCTCTGGTATTTTATTTGTTTGTCAGATTTCCCTTAAATTAAGAGATTAGGTGGAGTTTATTGAATCTTATCATTAAGGAAATGAAAGGAACCCTTTAGCAAACACTGAAATTTCTTGCTTAATTGTTGGTGAGCACATACGTTGCTTCAGGCTAGACTAAGCCTCATATATCATCAGACATGAACACATTAAACACAGGTAGAAAAGAAATGCAATTAGCCACACGCAAAGTTAGACAAAAATCCACAGCTTTAACTGGGCTCAAAGCACATACTTTGGACTTAATTGAAGCTGCTCCAAGTGGTGTGTCTGTGTATCTAGGAATGATTTTACCTGAGGAGTCACAGCTCCTGCACACCAGCCCCAGCGGTGGTTACTTACATCCTACCAGACACCCTGCTCTAGTGCTTGTGTGGGTTCATGGGCCCTGAGACTGATCTCCAGAGGCAGGCAAGCTGTCTGCACCATGTGCATGGTGCCCACTCAGAGATGCACGTGTGACTTTCTCCCTCTTCAGCTCCTTGAGATAAACATGTTACTGATTACCATACAGGTTACTGATTACCACCTGGCACTGGCAGGGTGTGAGTCACTATGAGAGCTCCCATCCCAGGAACATCTGGGAAGTTTCCAGATACTTGCTCATGTCAGCAACATGATCCCATGTCACTGCTTGACAAATAGGAAAGACTTTGAAAAACTATTTGCAATTTTGTAAGAGTAATGCAGGCTCGCTGCCCAGATTGATATCCTGAGATGCTCAGCTGAAATGAGGGAAAGTCTCCCATGGGAATGGTTTTATCAGACAGAAATTAACTATCACAGTGTGGGAGCAGAAAGCAGCAACAGCACCTCATAAACTGGCAAAAGACTATGACTTACTAAATTACAGATGGGAGTGGGAGAACCTGAGACTTGTGTACATCTGGGGTTGCTTTACTGGATTTCTGCAGCCACTCTCTACACATGACAGATCATTTCTGTAATTTGACAGGAGAAGAAAGGAAGAAACTTCCACATTGCATGGAAGTGCTCAGGTAGATAGATTTTACCTGCTTGTAGTTACTAAGAAGCAAGTCAAAACCCCTTCTAAAGACTTTAATATATAAATATTATTTGTGTTTGGAAGAAATCCAAGCATCTGCCTATCTTTTGCCCTTATTAATTAAAGCTTCAAATTAAAAACTGATATGAGCAAAGAGTGTGGCAGCTGTTTGATTCAGAACAAGAACAGAGAGAAGTAAATAGCGTGTGAAATTTGCTTGAAATTGCACTCATCAACCCAGTTTCTACAGCCATAGGATCCTAATGCCCCCCTACTCATCCAAATATCAATGACATCTATTTGAGATGGGGATGGTGTTATTATTGAGATGGGGATGGGGTGTTAGTCACGTTTCCTAGAAAAGTGACAGAACAGTTTTCTTAACTTACACAGTCAATTTTTTCAGGTCAATAAAGCAGCATGAACATGAGGGGCATTTTTAACAGTAACTATGTAAATTTGTGCAAACGAATGGCAAAGGAAAGAAATCAAGTCCTCATTCAAGATTTGTTTAACCAAGCATCACTACTGACATGCTTTTTCCTGGGCATACCTGCACAACTCAGCCCCACGGTTGTGCCTGCTGTAACAGGCTACTCAATACAGGGGTGTCCAGCAGCTTCTCCTGTCACTCCAGGTAGAAATCAACATTCACTTACTCCTTATCAATACAACTCCTGCACAAAGTAAACACAGAGGAAGCAGGCAAATCCTTCCTGTGGTCATTCTTGGCAGAAGGGGTGAAAGGAGTATTCTCCCTGGAAGTGTGTGCCTTCTCCCTGAAAATGGTAACCTGATCTGGCATTCAAACACATTTCTCTGGCAACTTTAAACATCTCTCATTTTTCATTGTAAAGAACTTCAAAGTCTCGTTTCACCGCCAGAAGACATGACTGTGGCTGTGTTACATCAGCCACCGTGCTGGGTGGTATTAACAGATGGCACAGCCTGCAAGGCTGGCTAATGGAGCTTCCCACGCCTTGAATATGCAGTGACCTCTCTGCAGCTAGGAACCTGCAGTGCTCTGCATTGTAAGGAGCTTCAATGCGCAGGTCCTCCCAGCTGCCCCTGGTCTTGTGGAGGAGTTCCCAGACACTGAGGGGAGAAATTCTCCAAAATGAACCATAAAACATCCATCCCTAAAATTCTAAGGGAAGCTTAGCCTCTTGAAAGACAGTATTGGAGCTTGTCAGCCACTGTGCTAGGAAGCAATAACTGATGTTCAAGAATGATCTCAGTTATAATGTGTTTCAGATTTACCATGTCTGATGAAGGTTTTTGGAAGGTTATCATATCCCTTGCACAGTAATCTAATAACTCATACAATTTAAGTAACTTCAAACTGCTCAGTATTTCATCTGCTATTTCTAGTCTGGACTTCAAATTTGTCCTCCAAAACCAGATGTGTTAATGCTGGGCTCTTTGTGCTTGTTCTATATTAGCAACAGAGTACTCAGAGTCTGGACGACTGGTCATCTGATGGTTACTATATATTGCATTAACTCAACAAATCTATCCTCCTCTGTTTTCAATGCAAAGATCAATGGGTATAAATTGTCAAATAATAATACTGTAATTGTGACCAGCCCCAAATATCCTGTCTGCCTGGAGGCACTACATTGCAACAACAATTTCAGACCATAGAGAAAGAAACAAGATACCCTTTTATAGAAGACTATCAACTATCTGAAGAAATCTTGCATAAATTATATGGAGCACTCTGTCTTCTTCACCTTCTTTTTTGAGAAAGGGATACCAAAGCATGCTAAGCTTCCTGCTGAACTAAACTGCAAGCTGGAGAAATAGGTAAGTGTCCAGCACTGAGCAAGGTAGTGACTTTACAGAGTCACCAAAGCAAATTCTGATGCTGTAAAACTCCAGAGTTCTGTATCTGCAAGTAAGAAGCCAATTACTTGCAGGCCTGATGAAGAAATAGCTATCTAATATCCAGGCATTGGTCTACAAGAAAAAGACTTCAGAAAGCTCCTTCCAGAAAAGGTCTGAAAGCCCTGCAGGTGATGCCAAGGACTGTGGAGGGCAATCATTCAGTCTTGTAATGAGCTGACACAATGGGGCATGCATAACACAGGCATAACTTCATTTATGCCAGAGAAGATGGATTCACTGCCTCCAGGGCTCAATTCAGCCCAATGGCTTCTTAAATTTAGGCTGTCTTCAAGGAAGGTATAATATTTTTTTTCCAGCAATAACTCCTACATATGTACAAATATCAGAATATTTTACACATTTCTAGGTGAAAATAAAATCCCGCTAGGATGTGAGGTGATGTGACAGCTATGAACAAATCTAATAATGAGTTAAAATTGCTGAACGCTCTGATGGAGAAAAAGATTTGGAAGAATGACACTAACTACAAAATGAGACTATTTTCCTTGCCATCATTTAAACCTGCTTGCTCTGGACATGATGGTAGGTTCAGATTTATATCTAATGTTACATGCTTTTTATAGGGAATTATGTGTTATCTCTGCAAAGTTAGGTTAATCTTTCTTGCATCTGATCAGCTGGAATATTGAA